ATATATATATATATATATATATCACCGGCTTGTGGACAAGCATGGTGCCAACGCCACAACAATAATAACAGAAATAGGGGAAGGATGGGTTGGAATACAGAACGAAGTGCAACAAAGAATAAACAATTACAATGGAAGACAGTATATAACAGGAATAACAAAATTTTTGCGTTTCACCGTACTCTTTTTGCTAGTTTGTGTGTTAGTTTATCGGTTTTTTACGGGGTACGGGATTTCAACAGACAGACCGTATAGCATTCGCGCCACTGACTTCTTCTCTGGGCCATATCTCTTAGCGTCTCTAACCAACGGCAATCCTCATCCCTTGGGTCCCAACCTGGAAGGCGGGCTGCTGCGACTGAAACCAAAGCTGAAGTCAGCTGCTTCATACCTCTACACCATATCACGATCTGAAGGCTGCGACGTTTATTTCGGCCTAGCCCAGCTTGTGCAAAAAGAGCACGGAAGGTTAGACGGTAGACAGGCATGAGAAAGCCATCGGAGGCGGTGTAGAGCGATTACTTCTTTTAGAAAACGATTATCTGCACCCAACACACGACGACGGACCTCGTCATTGCTCACCCGATATTCCCACGAGACATGAGAAATACTTCGGAGACATCGGTAGTCAAATACAGAAAGTCGATTAGCATCTTCCGCTCGGAGGGGCCAGATCTCGCAATCGTAAAGCAGAACACTACAAACCACGGTGATGTATGCTCTGCCTTTAAAAGAAAAACGAATGTCATGACGATGCAGCAGGTGTCGCAGGTTGGCGAACGCAGCTCTAGCTTTCGCTATTCGTGATATGATCTCCCCAACACGACCACCAGCTACGATTAAGCTCCCGAGATACTTAAAGCTCTCAACTACTTCCAGCGGCTCACTACAGAGGGTGAATGCAGGCACAGGATCCTTCCAGTCTTGAACAAACACTTTGCATTTTGATGGTGTTCATACTAAAACCTGGGCACTCGTTTATATAGGTCGCCCAAGGTTCCTGGAACTGGGGACCTCGGGATCAGTGTAATCGATGGTTAGTGATATTGCTCAGTGACTTAAAAAATGGCACTCTTGCATCTACCCAAATCCTTTACATCTTTATTTTACCTAACTTGTCTATCTTCACCCTAACTGGTTGCTAAAAGATGGCAACCAAACTCGTCGCGTCTAACCACAAGGTAATAGTTGCATAGTTTAAACTAAATAATTCTAGTCATTCGATATACTCTGCTCCTGATTGACATTCATTATTCTCTGCTTGGGTTTATATTTCAACTGTGGCTATTATGTGCCTCTTCTTCAGGAGATACTTATTGAACAAAACTTTTATTTGCTGTTTGGTTTACGAATGACAATTTTTGAAGTTATGATTGTTAACAGTTCTGTGATTATGACTGGTTTCCATTCCACGCATTCGCATAGGATGGCAACCGTTTCAAACACTACGCAACTTTGACTGCCATGGCGTTTGACGAATTTGATTCTCTAGATGAGGACGACGTAGTAGATCCCGACAGTGATGAAGGGGTAGAGGAGGAAGAAGAAGTGAACACTCCTCGCAATCCGACAAAACCAACCGTGTCCCAGACCGATCTTGATGATGTTGATCAGTCATCGAACCCGGCCGAACCAATTGATGAAGTCTCTAATCCGGAATCCCATTCTTCCTCAGTATTTCCATCGCCTTCACCACCGCCACCACTATCTTCGCCACCACCTCTGCCGGCGCACATGTCATCAATGCATGTGGAAGACTCTCAGGTCCATTGTAAAGTGATTGAAGTACACGCTCGTGACGAGGTAACTCCGCTGAAATCAGACACGACTGTACAAACATCACCTCTCGACGAATCTAAATTGTTAGTCGTACTCCAACCGGGTAGCACATCTCTTGAACCTGGTGAGTTCTTCTCTGGAAACATTTCTTTTCTGTGTAGTTTTTATCCATATGATTCGACAAAATGAACTTTTATTTCCGTTTCAATGTCTTTGGACAGCACAATTCGATCACACCAGGTAACTGAAAACAGTAAAGTTCGTTCTCTAAATAATTTCCAATTGCCTCGTTGTGAACATGTCTCTGAAATTCATCAAAGCCTGACAGCTGTTTCGTCTCTCATTGGAACATCTAATTTTAACGTCGAAAATACAGAATATAAGGCTTTTCGTTATATAATAATAATACTAATACTAATACTACTAATAATAGCGATATGACCTTACTTACACACATGTCGTTTATCTCAGTTTTTCTTGACCGTTTTAAAAATGTCCCAGCCTCAGCTTATCAGATACTTTCCTTATCCTATTTCGGTGTGTTATGCGTTCTGTTCATGCGGCGCAAAGAAGGAGTGTTTCAGACAGTAGGAAAGCTCATTAGTGGATGGATTTTTCACCGTACAACAACGATTGATGAGGCGCTAGTCATCAGCCCAAGGGGTAGCGACTAAAACCGTCGCGCGAAAGTTGTATAAACTGAAATGGAAACGTTTTATGTGTCAGTGTTTCGTCTGGAGTATGACTAATTTATATAGTTCTCGAAATTTGTTATCGTCACTTCATAATCAGTGCGATCGAAAAAACTGTAAGCCTATTATAAGGAGATATGAACAAACCACTCAAATGAACGGATCAAGCTCCTAAATACATCAACAGGATTTCGCATCGCACTATTTTTATTACTTTTCCCCTCTTCGTAGTATTTACGTTTCCGAGGTGTTTTTAAAATCTCAAATGCTGTTGACGAAAACTGTTTTGATCGTATGCATTTCAGCTATCAATGATTTTACCATGTACACATTAGATTTCGAGGCACAACATTCGTGAACGTTTCCAGTTCTGTTCTCCGTCGATGGTGCATAATTCATATCATTGCTTGAACTATGATTTCCTTCGAAGTGGTGCAGGTTGTTTGTGCATTCTAAAAACCAGTTTCATGACCATGATAATGGAGGCGTATCATTAATTGTCCTCGTTGTTCGATGGGCCGAGGCGGTCAGCTAACTTTGGGTAGCTAAAGCCTAATTTATTTCCGATTTGTATGACCAGAGCACAGTGTGTTTCATATGTTCCTCTTTATTCTTCTATTTTCTGTTAGCTCTGTTTCACACGAGCCCTTCTAATTAAGTCCAAAAATAGGTAATCGTATCAGAACCACTAGACTAATTCTAGTAGAGAGTCAGACTGAGTAGAATTGATCCTGTGAAGCCGATTGCTGTTTTCACACTATAAGCAGCACTCTTCGGCACTCCCGTTCAACAGTCATCACAAAGTTCGGCATGGCCGCTGGTCGATGAGTCATACCATTTCAGTGTTACATGTGACTTGTTTGACACTAATACACACGAGCCGATCAATCTTTGGACCATGACTTATATTTTACGGCTTTGGTTCATGCTATCAGTTATTCACGCATCAACGGTCGTGCACATTTTGTCGGTCTACCTACACCCATTTGTTTACATGTTGCGCTTGAATTTGCGAACAGTTTCCTCCCCCTTTTTCACGTGCATTCTGCCCTTTTTTGCCGTTTGTTAATAACCCCCCCCCCCCCAGGTAAGCTCAGTAAAATCT